CCCGTCGCCGAGTCCCGGGACATCCCCGGCCCTGACACCGTCAGCGGGACCCTGCGAAGCTGCCCGGGACCCCTCGCCGCCCTCCGCGGGCCGCCGCCCCCTGCTCGGTGCTGCAGGGGGGGCCCGGGACTCCGCGCCGGGACGGGGAAGTAAAAGGAAGAGAAAAAATAGAAATAAAGAAAAAAAAAGGGGGAAAAGCGAGAAGAAAGAAGAGCCGGGTCGGGCTCGTGTCGCCGCTCTGTCCCCTGTGACATCCCCCGGCGGCCCCGGGCTGCTGCCCCGCCGCGTGTCGCCCCGTTCGCCGTTCCCGGTGCCACCCGGCGGCTCCCGCTCGAGTGCGGCAGTCGCGGCGCTGGGTGCCAGCGCGGTCTCTGTGGCGCAATCGGTTAGGGCGTTCGGCTGTTAACCGAAAGGCTGGTGGTTCGAGGCCACCCAGGGACGCGAGCGCTTGGTTTTTTACCCGTATTTTATTCCATGGATACATATTTTTTCACTTAATTATTCCAGAGGCGCGGGCGAAGGCAGACAAAGAGCAGCGGGAGCTGGAAGCGGAGGTGACAACGCTGGGCCGCACAGGCTGCGGTCTCGTTTTTCAAAGGATCTTTGGCTTCACCAAACTCTCCACACATCCAGATGTGACACCCTGTGCACATGCATCCAGTTGTGCCGCCCCTCCCACCTGGGGAATCCCAACATGCATTCAAGCTGTGCAACCCCCATCCAGCTGTGCAACCCCCTGAATGAAGCATCCATCCCGCACACAGCCAGCTGTGCAATGCCTCCTCCCGCGGTTCAATGTCCCCTCCAGCTGAGCAGTGCCCCCATCCAGCTGTGCACTGCCCCCTCCAAGCATTTCACTTCCAAGTGCACAATACTCTCCCAACTGTGCTAAGCTCTCCCAGCTTTGCGCAGCCCTCCAGATACGCAGTGTCCCCTCCATCTCTTCATTAACTCCCAGCTGTGCGCTGTCCCCTCCAGCTGTGCAATGCCACACCCAGCTGTGCATTACCGCTCCCAGGCCGTGCATTGCCCCCTCCGGCTCTGCATTAACCCCCGCACTGCGCACGCTCCCCCCACGCTTTGCATCGCCCCCCCCTCCAGCTGTATAAACCCCCCCAGA